TGTGCTGCTCGGGTCAAAGCTCTTCGGCAAGCGCACCTGCGACATGTTCAGCAGTCACGACGAGCTGCGTTACATTTTGCAAGCCAACACGCCGATCGTGCTTGTGCACATGTGCCACCGCTTCAAGTACTGGGCCAGCCAGCGCATCCTCTCGACGTCCCGCTTGCATTCGTGCGCCTGGCTAGCACACACGTTACCATCCTCCTCGTCAGAGGCCAGGACGACGCCACCACAACAGGTCCTGCACACCATCGAGGCGGCGATGGCAAGAGTAACCAGCTGTGGCAGCAACCCAGCTCCTTCAGCACCAACACAACCACAGCCAGCAGCACCAACACAACTGCGACCAGCAGCACCAACACAACTGCGGCCAGCAGCACCAACACAACCACAGCCAGCAGCACCAACACAACTGCGACCAGCAGCACCAACACCATCTGTCGTCCCGAAACATTGCACAGTAGCCCCGACGCTGCCGACGCTGTACGAAGAAGCTGAGACCAGCAGCGTGGGCACGAGCGACGATGGCAACGGCGCCGACGACAAGCACGCTGCAAAAACCCGCACGGACGAGGGGCGTGATGACTCGCGGGCGTGCGTTCGCCGCCTCACGAGTGATGCACAGGAGCACATGTCCTGTCCTGAAGGAGCGACGGCCGCGCTCGCCGCCCTTGTTGCCTGCAGCATCGAGAGTCCCACCAGCATTGTGTGCTGCCTTGCACGGGATCAACTTGCTGTGAACACCGTCCTTGGCGTCATGCGTGCCCACCCGCGCGTATGCGAGTTGCAGCGACTAGGCTGTCGCATCCTGGACCGTGTGATGTCGTTTCTCTTTAGCACACGCAAGCAGCAGCACCCACGAGAAGAGCAGCTGGACGCCGGGGAGGACGAGCACAGCATGCGCTGTCTGCTGCGGGAACGCATCCCTGAACCCGTGCTCACGGCAATGTGGCACCATCAAGGAGACGATGCCATCCAAGCATACGGCTGCAGGATTCTGCGACGGCTTACTCGGGACCCTGACATGCAACACGAGCCCTTGGTGCGTGCTGGCGCTGTTTCCGCCATCGCCACCGCCATGCACACCCACACGCGCGTACCCTGCATCCAGCGAGCAGCTTGCAAGGTTCTGACCAAGCTCATCCTGCGGAGCGATGAGGGCGACGCGCTTGTGCGCGAGGTTGTGGACCTGGGCATCCTCGAAGCCTTGGCTGAGGCGCTACAGCACCACGCCATGGACGCCGCCGTTGTTGGCGCTGCATGCCAGTTCTCTCAAGTACTCCTGCAGTCCCTCCCTTCGCCCTCGGATACCGCAACTCTGGCGGCTTCGGATTCAATCGGTGCACGCGCCCTTGCCAAGACGGCCGCAGCGCTACTGACCTCCGCCGTTGAGCTGATAGACGAAGGACGACACGGGCCAGCAGCAGCCCACTCACACCAACAGCAGCAGCAAAAGCGGTGATGACGTCGATGGGTTGTGTGCATGAGAGTGAAGGTGTGCGTGTGTGGGCGTAACTGTTAGATGGTTCGAGTGTTGCCTTGCTGTTACTGATCCACAGGATTCACTGCTTGTAGAGTTCTGTAGAGTTTGTTTTGACCTTCTTCTTTGTAATTGTCGATTGTCGATTACTTGAATCAGCTTTGCTCAAGTGGCTGAGAGGACTAGAGGAGGGCACTCGCTCTAGCACTCTAGCACTGGCCTGTCCCCTCGTTCTCCTTAACTTGGACAGTACTATTCTATGAAGACCTTCCCTCCTTGACCTGATGACATCTGTACGTATTTACGTTGTCGTACACTTAGACACTTGTACACAACCATTGAGTTGGTGAAAATAGTGATCAATTACACCAACACAGCCAACAAAGGATACAGTCATTGTAAGAGATTCAAGCACACGTGCGGGCAACTGAAGAAGGCTGCTTGTGCTGCTGAGCAAGGGAGAAAGCGAGAGAGTGAAGAGCGCTTGAGGACAAAGAGACTAAGAAGAGACACACAGACACAGACACACACACACACACACACACACACACAGACACACACACACACACACACAACACACATTTGCTGTCCTCCCACCGATTGTTGTTGAAAGATGTTCACAAATCTTCCACAACCACACCGCGACGATGGCTGATGACAACAAGAGCAACAGCAGCAGCAGCGCTCACGCAGCACGACAAGCGCCAGCGACCGCCTCGGCGTCTGGTGCATCGTCATCCACCGCGCCGCGACGTGGCGGGGCCGCTTCCCTGCCACCAGACTTGCAACTTCATGGCCCAAACGGAGAGGTTGGCGACTATGCTTCGCGCAGAGCAGTTGCTGGACTTGTGTGTGCGCGCGAGATGTTCGGGTTCGTTTTTCCTTGTTTGTGAGCGTAATGGTTGCACTCACTGAAATGCCTGTGCTTGGTTGTGAATGGGGCACGCCTCTGCTGTCTATGAAGTTGGCTGCACATTCGCCTGTGATTACGGCCATATTCGACGCGCCGAGTGTCATCGTCGTTGGCGGTGGAGCGCGTACGTACGCATGTGCTTGCGTGTGTGTGCATGTGCTTGTGCTCTTGTGTGCATGTGCTTGCGTGTGCATGTGCTTGCGTGTGCTCTTTTGTGCATGTGCTTGCGTGTGCGTGTGCATGTGCTGGTTCAGCCAGGTTCAAGGTGTGCGAGACCTAATATGCCTTCGTTCCTGCTTCGTGTGCTAGCCCGCTGCCCGTGTGTCTATGTGGAGAACTTGCTCGCCGTGATTGAGCGGGACAACGAGCAGCCACCGCTGGAGCTTGGCGATGAAATCACCATGATCGACGATCAAGTCACCATCGGTAAGCCCAGTGGCCGAGAACACCTGTTACGTGTTGTTCGTCCTTGTTCCGGTGCTTTTGCACCTATGTGACGTGTTGTGTGTGTGAGTGTGTGTGTGTGTGCGAAGGTTGTTGTTTTGTTGTTTCAACGGTAAACGCCCTCTTCGGTGTGCTTGCTCATATGGGTGATTGACTGTGTCCAGGCAAGACAAGCGACGAAGTACAGCAGATGCTGTGCTCCAACAACGGGGTAAGGTGAACCTGTGCACATGGTGCGTGTGTGTACGTGGGGTGTGTGTACGTGTGTGTGTGTGTGTGTGTGTCCGTGTTTGTCCGTGTTGTCTTGGCACCAGGCTGCAAGCAACACCTTTGCCGAACATGCTCTGGCTCCTCCACACAACCAACCCACGTTGCACGCCTATTTGTGTGCCATGCACCCCCAGAAACCCGTGGCCGTGACGTACCGAAAGCTGCCGGAAACGCTGGCGGACACGGCGTCCAAGTCTCGCTTTCACCTCAAAATGAGTATGGCACAGAGTGCACTTGGGGTTTGTGCGTGTGTGTGTGTGTGTGTGTGTGTGTGTGTGTGTGTGTGTGTGTGATAGTGTGCGTGCATGCGTGCGTGTGATAGTGTGTGTGTGATAGTGTGTGCGTGCGTGCGTGTGTGTGCGTGCGTGTGAGTTCGTCAAGAAGAGCTCACGTGTCATGTTGTTGACTGTCGATAGTGTGGTCCAAACTGAAGCAGTCAATGGCAAGCAAGGTCAGTCAGTCAGGGGTCGTGGTCCACAGTGGCTCTGATGCCAAATGCCGGTGCTCCTCGCCTCGTGTCCCCTCTGTCCTCTGTATGCATGCGTGTGTGTCCTCTGATTTTCTGCAGTGTGAATTGTGGTCGTGCAGTTCCCACAACTGACGCTGCCACTCTCTGCTGTATTTGTGCTGCCAGCTGTCCCCGCAACTCCGCGCAAAGTTCAAGGTGGAGTTCGCCTCCATGCACAGCGTGGAAAGTGAGTCACCCGTCCGTGTGTTTGTGAACGTGCACATGCACACGCGCGCGCATGTTTTGAATGTAAATGAACACGATGTAACTGCGTGTGCAGATGCGACTGGCGCATCCCCTACCCCTACCCAATCAAACGCATTGCATGCTGATGAAGCGCTGCTCTGATCAACACCGTGATGTTGTTGCTCCTGCGTTCGCCTTTGTCGCTTTGACATTCGCTTCTGTTGCTTCGGTTCACCACCAGCACAAGCGTACGAGGCCAAGGTGGAATCCGTGGAGCAAGCAACGAGCTTCTATGACGGTGAGTGGGGCCTTGCTGTTTGTGTAATCGTTGTCATATCCATTTGCACCAACACCTCAGCTGCTGCCCAGTTTGCTGTGCAGAGCAGCACTCAGAGACATGCACACGAACGCGCGCAATCTCTCTCGCAATGCACATGAATACACCCATTCACGTTCACAAACACGCACACCCCTGCAATGCTGCCAGGTCTGATCAAGCATGCGAGCGCATACGTGGCGAAGATGCAGGCGTTTGCGGTGGCGGCGCACAACTTGGGCAGCGGGCTGCGGGAGACCACGCACAACGAGCACCACGACGCACTCAGACACAAGAAGGAGCTGCTCGCGTCATGTCTACTGTACGTTATGTGTAGTGCGGGCGCTGGGATTGGAAGGAGCCGGGCATGGGAGTGGATGTGTTGCAGCGCATGAGCATGCGTGTGCACGCTTCATGAACACGCACGCACACACTCATACACACTCACACACTCACACATACACACATACATACACTCACGCATACATACACGCACACATTCGGTCACAGGGCCGACGCAGAGTCGTGTCAGACAACGGTGGATATGGTAAGCTACTCTTTCGCTGTTGCATCTGCTGCATCTGTCGACGTATTCTTCTGTCGGCGATGCGAACAAAGAAAGAAAGAAAGGAAGCTGGCTTCGCTCACACTCTCGCGCACACTCTCGTGTGACAGGTGCAGTACGTGTGCGACCATCTCAAGACGTTTCTGCACAGCGTGCTCACTGACGCAAAGAAATCCCTCCTTGCCTTCAAGCAGTGCCAAGACGACTTCCTGGTATGAACATGTGTGTGTGTGTGTGTGTGTGTGTGTGTGTGTGTGTGTGTGTGTGTGAACGTGTGTGTGTGTGTGTGTGTGTGTCCGTTGGGAGCAAGTGCAATATGACGCTAATGTTACGACTGCCATTCACGTTGTTTCGCACGTTCCTGCGACCGCCAGGCTGTGAGCATGCGCGCGTTTGAGATGGCAAAGGAGCAGGAGGAAGCAGCGGTATGTGCACCTGCAAGCGAAGCATTGATGGTCGTGCTGATGACAGTGATTCCGTCTCTCACTTGCGCGCGCGTGAGTGTGTTTGTATGTGACTCTTTTCGATAGAAGCGCAACACATGCACAAACAACATCCAGACCTCTAATCACACCGCCATCGCACTCGCTCACACACACACACACACGCGCACGCACGCACACACATGCACACACGCTCACACACACACACACACACACACACGCATACACACGCACACACACACACACACACACACACACACGCTCACACGCGCATACGCATACACAATGCACCATGACGATGGCAGCACCGTGGCACGGCGGTGCCTGAGGTGCAGACGGGCAACTACCTCTACCGCCACATTCTGCGGGAGCGGGGGCGACTCGACGCCCGCCACAGCCATCTCCGCGACCAGATGGAACACAAGATGCGCCTCCTTGTCGTCGAGAACGGTGTGTATGTATGTGTGTGCGCGCGTGTGTATGTGTGTGTGCATGTATGTATGTGCGCGCGTGTGCGTGTGTGTGTATGCACGTGTTTGCGGGTCAACGCGTGCGCATACTCACATGTGTGGGGTTGTGTTTGTGGCGCGCGTGCTGTGGTTTTGTGTGGTTTCCAACGTCACATCCTGCTGTTCGTTGTTGTGCTGAGCAGCCCGCGACATGGCAACGCAGCTGTCCCGCATTGTGCTTGCTCTCTCCAATCACTACTCCAAGATGGCGCCCACCATGGCAGAGGCAGCACAGGTATTGTCAGCAACAGTTACATGCAACACGTGGCTTGACGTGACTTGTGTACGCTCGTGAGCTTGAATACAACACAAAGTTCTGTGTGTCTGTGTGTGTCTGTGTGTGTCTGTGTGTGTCTGTGTGTGTATACTTTGTGTGTGTGCGTGTGCGTGTGTGCGCATGTGTGTCTGCGTGTGCGTGTGTGTGTGTGTCTTATCTCTGTGGCTCTCTGTCTCTGTCTCGGTTTTTGTCCCCCTCTCTCCATCCTGCTGTTGTCCTTCACTCTCACACACACATACAACTCCTTCCCTTTTGCTGTGCAGACGATGGGCACAATTGGCGACAACTCTGCAGAGTTGTGCCGCGCTGCGGATATTGACACTGTTCTTGAGCCGCTGTCGCTGGATGAGAGCGCCAATGCTGCCACACCTGGCGTGCATGAACCAGCAGGCCAGCAACAAGAGCAGCAGCAGCAAGAGCAGGAGGAGACGCGTGCTGGGGAAGCAGCAAGCAAGGAGGATGTTGCCGGTGCTGACCACTTTGCTGTTGGCGATTCTGATGATGGCGATGAAGGAGCAAATGGTGCACAGCAAGACGACTCTTCCAAGTAAAACACTGCAGCTTGTGATGTGTGTTTTGTGTGTATGCTGTCGTTGTCGCTCATCCAGTGTCATCATGTGTTGGCTCTGCTGCCTGTTGGGTTTGTGCAGTCACGAGGCGTACATGTGAAGACCGGCGTTGCGTTGTGATGAATGTGTGCGCAACTGTTATGTTACAATTACTTTCCTGCATTGCACAATGTGCTGTGGCACATTCATTCAAACACACGCTGTTCTCAAGCCATTGGTACCTGGAGAAAAAAGACAAAGAGAGAGAGAGGGGGGGAGGCAAGAGGCAGTGAGAATGCATGCATGCACACACACACATACCAAATTGTCCTTTAAATAGGCCAGTACAATGATCTATGCCACAAACAGCACAGTCACATCACACGATGCACGCGCAGGCGTAGTCATCAGGAAAGCCACGCCGTGTTACTGGTGTTGGCGTGTTCTGGAGGAACAGGTGTTTTGTTACACAGTCATGCGTGTGACACACACAAACAAACAAGGGATGGTGAAAGGAGATCGCTGACAGGGTCTTCCTCATTTCCATCACCAACCAAACCAAGCGATTACGAAGGCAGGAGCCGAAAGGCAAGCTTCTCAACATCCCAAGAAGCAAGAAGATTGTTGCTGCAACTGCAACCATGAGCGACGACGTTGCTGCTGTGGTGATCGACAATGGTTCCTTTGGGTGCAAAGTCGGCGTTGCTGGTGAGGATGCACCGCGCATCGTCTTCCCCTCCATTGTTGGCCGTCCCCGCCACCAGGGCGTGATGGTCGGCATGGGCCAGAAGGACTCCTACGTCGGCGACAAGGCCCAGAGCAACCGTAGTATCCTCGCACTCAAGTATCCCATTGAGCACGCCGTTGTGACCAACTGGGACGACATGGAGAAGATCTGGCACCACACCTTCCACAACGAACTCAAGGTGGATCCTGAGAAGCAGCCGGTCGTGCTGACTGAGCCTCCGCTCAACCCTCGAGCCAACCGCGAGAAGATGACCCAGATCATGTTTGAGACGTTCAAAGCACCTGCTATGTACGTGGCCACTACTCCGGTGCTGTCGGTGTACACTTCCGGGCGCACCACTGGCGTGGTCGTGGAATGTGGTGATGGCGTGACGCAGATTGTGCCTGTGTATGAGGGTTGCTTTTTCCCCCATACCATTCAGCGCCTCGACCTTGCCGGCCGCGATCTCACCGACTACATGATCAAGCTCCTCACCGAGCGCGGTTACTCCTTCACCACCACCGCCGAGCACGAGATTGTGCGTGACATCAAGGAGAAGCTCTCCTACGTCGCCCTCGACTTTGAGCAGGAGATGGCCACCGCCGCCTCCTCCTCCAGCCTGGAGAAGAGCTACGAGCTCCCCGATGGCCAGGTCATCACCATTGGCAGCGAGCGCTTCCGCTGCCCCGAGGCCCTCTTCCAGCCTTCCAGCCTTGGTCGATACACCCCTGGCATCCACGAACTCACCGACAACTCCATCATGCAGTGCGATATCCACAATCGGAGAGCTCTTGCCGCCAACATTGTGCTCTCTGGCGGCACCACCATGATGCCGGGGTTTGTTGACCGCATGCACAAAGAGATCACCGCCCTCGCCCCATCCACCATGGACGTCAAGGTCGTTGCTCGTCCCGAGCGCAAGTACTCTGTCTGGATTGGCGGCTCCATCCTCGCCTCCCTCTCCACCTTCCAGCAGATGTGGATCACCAAGGCCGAGTATGACGAAGTAGGGCCGTCGATTGTCCACCGCAAGTGCACTTGAACTCTCGGTGTGGGATTGTAAGTGTATGCGTGTGTGTGTGCGTGCGTGCGTGCGTGTGTGCGTGAGTGTGTGGATGTGTGTGGATGTGTGTGTGTGTGTGTGTGTGTGAACGTGTGTGTGTGTGTGATGTGTCCCTTTCTTTATTTCTTGCATTCCTTCTTGTGCTTGTGCTCTCTGCGCGTGCTGGCCAACTTCCATGCCACAATGTCCCGATGTCCCCTGTTCCTCCGCTCTTGTTTCAATGTTAAACAGAATGCACACCGATTGAGACAGAGAGAGGCACAGAGACAGGGAGGCAAGAGGCAGGGAGAATGACACACACACACACACATACACACACACACACACACACACACACACACACACACACACACACACACACACACACACACACACACACACACACACACACACACACACACACACACACACACACACACACACGCACCCTATCGTCCTTGAAATATGCCAGGGCGGCCTTGATCTGGGCCATTCAAGATCGCTTTCCGTTTCCACCACCACCACAAACGACAATGCTGCTCCCGTTCTTCTGCTTTCGCTTGCTCTCCGCGCAGTGCGCTGTCGCGTTGCTGGTGCTGGCGGTGTCGTTGATGCCTGCAGGCACGGTAAGGAGTGCACCAGTCGACCTGCCACACGATGGGGCAGCGATAGCTGCGCGCAACAGCTCTTCTTTTCTTCACAATCGCCGCAGCAAGGAGGACAACCTTGAAACTTCATCAGCTCGACGTGCTCAAGCGGCCGGGCTGGCTCAATTTGACAACTTTCCGGAGCCACGAAGCGTGCCCGCTTGCGGCTCCTTTTGCCGCCAGAGCGGGTTGGTGTTGGAGAAGGACACGTGGCGCCAGCTGCCATCGTCGTGGGGCCCACCGACCATTTCGCGAGAGGAAGATGTCGACGCTATCGGCACGTACGTGGCGCCCATCCTGTACGGTGGGCTGGGCAACATCCTGTTCCAGTTGGCCGCGCTGCACGCGTATGGTCGCAAGCACAACGTTCCTGTCGTCGTTGGGTACTTTCAGCACTGGAACCGCGCCTTCCACACGTTTGAGCCCTGGGGTGGCCACACGCCGCCCGCAACTGGCGTCACCTTGAAGCACACGTTCCCTGCGCTGCAGTGGTGCAGTGTTGAGGTTGCTGTGCCGCCTGTGCGCGTGTTCAACAGGTACGCCTTCAAGATTGAGGTCCCGGACGAGTACGCACCGCTGCCGAACCCAAAGCTGCTGCCAGCATACATCCACGGGTACTTCTTCAACCATGCGTACTGGCACCCTTCGCGTGAGCACGTGCTGCGCGTTCTTCGCTTCAACCCCGGCGTGGAGGAGTACGTCAGCCTCAAGTACGGCGACTTGCTTGCAGGCACGCCAGATGCAGGGACCATCACGCGGTCGGACCAAACTCGTGCCCCAGCACGCCCCAACGCCTACACCGGCGGAAAAGGCGCATTACAGACCGTGTCGCTGCATCTGCGGCTTGGATATGCGCAGGAGCCGGCGAAGAAACTCCTGGAGGGTCGGCGTCTGCCACCAACGTCGTTCTATGAGCGTGTGTTCACGCGCGAGTTTGACGCTGACCGCACGCTGTATCTGGTTTTCTCGGACAACAACGTCAAGGCGCAGGCGATGATGGATGAGTTTGCCAGGTCCGTACCGGGAGGTTTGCAGTTTGTTGTGGTTGAGGAAGATGTCGTGCACAGCGTGGCGATGATGGCACGTTGCCAGCACCACGTTCTCACGTCGTCCACCCTCAGCTTCTGGGGCGCCTACTTGGACGTGAACCAGCCGCACGGCGGACGCACGCTGCTGCATTCCACGTTCTTCATCGACCATGGCCGCGGCATGCTGCCTCCGGACTTTGGTTGGGAGGTTATCGAATAATGCATGAGGATGCGACTGCGACTGTGTGTGTGTGTGTGTGTGTGCGTGTGCATATGTGTGTGTGCATATGTGTGTGTGTGTGTGTGTGTGCGTGCTTGGAGTTTCGTGCGTGTGGCTGTGTGGCGTGCCGCGATGGACGCGCACGTGTGTGCTGCACTGTCTGAAGTGATGTCGCATATTTTATTGTAAACCGGAGGTTCAACTTAGCACCCGTGAAGTGACAAAGTGCGTGATGTGACACGAGTTGGCGAGATGGCGAGATTTACATCACACACACACACAGCACACACAGCACACACAGCATACACACGCACACACACACAGCGCGCGCACACACACACACACACACGCACACTTGTGGGGCTACTATTCCCAGCCGCGGGCTTCGTGTTGGATAATGGCTGCTGCGGCCTCACACCACTCTGGGCTGGAGTTGAGGCAGGGCACAAGCACAAGCTCCTCGCCCCCGTTCTCCTTGAAGACGTTTGCATTCTCTGTGCCGTTCTCATCAATTGTCTCCAGGCAATCGGTCAGGAAGCCCGGACACAGCACGGCAATCCTCTTCACCCCTGCATTTGTGTTGTGTTGTGTTGTGTGTGTGTGTGTGTGTGTGTGTGTGAGAGTTTGTGAGTGAGTGAGTGTGTGTGTGTGTTGAGCTGGCATGCATGCATGCACAATCTCGAGCATTGGGAGGGAACCAGCACAGGACGAGGGTTCGTGGTGTCAGCACGTTTAGACAGACAGACAGACAGACACAGACACAGACACCCCCCCCCACAATAAACGCACCTTGTTTCCCGAGCTCCTCGACGGTTGCATCCGTGGCGGGAAGCAGCCAGGGGTCCTTGCCAAACACAGACTGGTACGACAGCATCCACTGGTCTTTGCTCCAGCACATTCCCGCTGCAATGGCGCGCGCCGTCGCCTCGCAGTGCCACGGGTACGGGTCGCCGCGAAGGTGGTAGCGTTCGGGGATGCCGTGAAACGAAATGACAAAGCGCTCAATGTTGCTGTGCTGTGCAAGGAACTGCGACGCCGTGGCCACGATCGCCTGGATGTAGGCTGGGTGGCTGTAAAAGGGTGGGACAATGCGGATGGCTGGGACGAAGCGATAGCGGCGCGCACACGCAAACACCTCGTCGTAGATGGAGGCGGTGGTTGTGCCAGAGTACTGCGGGTATTTGGGCAGCACAATCACCCGCTCACACTCGCGGCGTTTCAACGCAGCCAGCGCACTCCCAATGCTGGGCTCCCCATATCTGACAATAGCAGGTGCGAGCAGGCGGAGGGAGGGACGGAGAGGTGTGAGCTTGGGGGGAGGAAGAGGGGAGTTGGGGACAAGGCACATAAGCACACAGACGTACGTCGATCGATGCAGCTGCAGACAAACAAACAAACAAACAGACAGACAGACAGGCAGGCAGACACACACACACATAGACAAACAAACAAACAAACAAACAAACAGGCAGACAGACAGACAGGCACACACACATAGACAGACAGACAGACAGACATACACACACGCACACAAGAGCACCTCATGCCGTATTCGACGACATAGTTGGAGCCGAGGTGTTGCTGGACTTGCTGTGTGAAGCGGCTGGTGTGGTGGACGAGGGGGGACGTGTTGCCTGTACCGGCGTTCTGGAACAGGCGCTCATACAGCTGGCCAGATGTGTACTTGCGGATGGGAATGATAAAGCCATTCAGCACCATGCTCCACACCCAAGGTGCAACCTAACAAGCCGCACATCACGATGGGTGCGTGCACGTGTAGGTGAGGACAGAGAGAGAGAGAGAGACACACACACACACACACACACACACGCACGCACACAAAGTCACAGACACAAAGACACAGACACACAGAAGCACACCGTTACCTTCCTCCCCACACACAAATACACACGTGATGTACGCACCTCCACAACACGCGGATCCATGAGAAACTCCTTTAGGAACTGGGCCACATCTGTGGCACGTGGAGTGGGTGTTGTGCCGAGGTTACACACAAGCACGCCAATGGGTCCACCTGCCGGGGTGTTTTCATCGATGCCATCGTCGCCATGCTCGTGCACGGTGGCCAGCGCGGTTTTGCGCAGGTACTCCATGTGCGCGGGCTCGGCCTCCCATGGGTTGGACGGCACGAGATGTGCGGGCCGCAGCTGTGTGTAGGTGGCCACGGCGGATGTCACGGTGAGGATGACGCGCAGGCTGGTGACCACGGTCCCGAGGACGCCCCGAAGCAGGCCCGTGTCTGTGCCCGCACCGCGAAGCGCTCTCTGCAGCATGGGCAGGATGGCGGCGTTCAGCAGCGCCAGCAGCCCTTGTTTCGAGGTGGCCATGGCCGCAAATGCACGAGCAAAGCGCGCCATGGCGCCAGCATGGGCCGCGCTGCCTTGCTGCGCACACGTGATGGCCAGGCGCCGCAGAGGCCGCCCAAACACCAGCCGGCCGACGGGGCAGTAGCTCATGGCGGTCAGCGCCAGCCATGCCGCGGCCTTGACGGCGACGCGCACAAACCGCAGGGACAGCGCGGGCACCTGGTTGCGCTGCAGCGCAGACGTGCCCCAGACGAGGAAGCCCACTGCCTCGTGCACCGCAGAGCCGAGCTGCGCCGCGTCCTGCAGCCCAAGCAGCGCCAGCAAGCCTTGGCCCTGTTCATCGTGTGCCAGCAGCCGGTATCCTGCGCCAGAGGTCACCGCCGCCCAAAACACTGCGGCGCCCAGCTGCGTTGCGCCGTCCACGCGCGCCGTGTCAAAGGAGACGGCGCGCTCGCACTCCTCCGTCCTGTGCTGGAACTCCTGCATCTTCCGCCGCCCGTATTGTGAACGCAGGCAAGCAAAGGCAGAGACAAGGCTGAATTGGTTGGTTGGTTGGTGGTCGTGGTGGTGGAGTGGTGGTGAACTGGTTGGTTGGTTGGCACGTTGCAGGGTCTCTGCTTGCTTGGTGTTCGTCTTCGTTGTCTTCGTTGCAGCCAGCCAACAGCAAAGTGCGCGGGATTTGTGCTGAATCAGCAGTTTTTGTGCACCAACGCAATCAACACACGACCACAACCACAAGCCACAAGACACACACACACACACACGTGCGAGTGAGCACTGCAGAGATGATGATGGACGAGAAGCGAGCCAAGGTAGATGCTGGTGATGGCAGCGACCCCAAGGAGCAGAAGGAGCTGCTGAGCGAGGGCCTGTTGACGAAGGAATCGCGGGAGAAGTACCGCAATGCATATGTGACATCGAAGCCATACCCGCACTGCATCTTCGATCCCATCTGCAGTCCGGAAGAGTTTGCGCAGGTGCGTGATGAAATTGTGCAGAACCTGGAGACCAAGTACAAGGAGACGGACCTGTTCAAGCTGTACCAGACCACGGACTTGGCCAACATCGACAACACACAGCCCGAGCTGGCCGCAAAGCTGCCCACCCTGCTCAGGCTGCGCGACCGGCTCTACTCCAAGGAGTTTCGCAGCTTCATCTCCGAGGTGACCGGCTGCGGCGAGCTGACGGAGCGCGTGGACATGGCCGCCTCCGCCTACACGCACGGCTCCCACCTCCTGTGCCACGACGACGTCATCGGCACCCGCGCCGTCTCCTTCATCCTGTACTTCAGCAAGGAGGGCTGGACCGCGGAGGAGGGCGGCGCGTTGGAGCTGTACCCGCTGGACCCCACCAGCGTTGTCAAGCGAGAGGCCCAGGGGGACGAGGGCGCGGAGATGCTGGTGCAAGGCGTGCCGACCGCCCACCCGACCGCTCGCCACCTGCCGCTCTTCAACACCATGGGCGTGTTCCGCGTGATGCCTGGGCGCTCGTACCACTCTGTGCAGGAGGTGCTCTCTGACGGGTCGCCACGCCTCAGCATCCAGGGCTGGTTCCACGGGCCACGCGAGCCCATCGGCAACGACATGGCCTCCCTCAACCAGCTCAAGACGGCGCAGGAGCGCGAGCAGCCCTTTGAGCCCATCCACGCCGACAACAGCACCGACAACACCAGCAAGGACAGCAGCAAGGACAGCAGCAAGGACAGCAGCAGCAGCGTCAAGCCTGACGGCGTGGAGGTGGATTCGCTCTCGGACGAGGACCTGGCCTTCCTGCAGCAGTACGTCAACCCGGTATACCTCAAGGCCGATGCCATTGCGGCCATTGGCAAGGAGTTTGAGAACTCTTCCTCTGTGCAGCTGCAGCGCTTCCTCAAGGAAGATGTGGCGGCGCGCGTGACGGCGGAGTGCTTGGAGGCCGACACAAAGGATGGCCTGCTGGACGAGAGGCTGCCCAGGGACGACACGGGGATTGAGGGCAACTGGCAGGTGGTTGGCCCCGCGCACATGCAGCGCTTCCTGCAATACACGCGCGCCAGCAACGCCGCAGACAAGGAGGCTGACAAGCAAGAAGACACAGCATCGCCTGGGGCGACGCTCGCACGGCTGGAGACGGCGGTGTTCCGGTCGCGGCCGTTCCTGCGGTATCTGAGCGTGGTGACCGGCGGGCGGCTGACGGGTTTGAAGACGGCAACGCGGCGCTTCCGCAGCGGCCTCGACTACACAGTGGCGCACCACGGGCAGCTGCAGGCAGAGGCGGAGCTGGACGCCACGCTGTGCTTTGTTGACGACAGCGACGAGCTCAAGGGCGCGCAGTGGACGAGTGGGGACGCGGGCGGGTTCGAGTGCTACCTGGCCGCGGAGAACGAGGACAATGTGGCGGCGGAGGTGTACTGCGATGATGACGCGGCCGGCAATGATCTGCTCAGCGTGCAGCCGTCATCCAACACGCTGTCGCTGGTGTACCGCGACCCGGGCACGATGCGCTTCATCAAGTACGTCAGCGCGGCGTCCAGCGGGTCGCGCTGGGACATCAGCAGCACATACCAGCTGCACTACGACGACGACGACGTGGACGAGGACGAGGACGAGGAGGATGACGAAGGGGATGGCGAGGAGTAGTGGCTGTTGTGTGGGTTGTCACTTTGTTTTGTATGTGAGTGAGTGTGAGTGTGAGTGTGTGTGCGTGTGCGTGTGCGTGTGCGTGAGTGAGTGTGAGTGTGAGTGTGTGTGAGTGTGTGTGAGTGTGTGAGTGTGTGTGTGTGCGTGCGTGTGTGTGTGTGTGTGTGTGTGTGAGTGTGAGTGTGTGTGTGTGCGTGGCACGTTGCTGTTTGTTGGTGCCTTTGTACCTTAGTATTGGCTGTCGTTGGGTGGCAGTGTTGCGCTTCGTTTATAGTTGCGCGCAATGGCAATTACAAGTCTTCTTTGCGAGAATGGGTATGCATGCATGCGCACACAAGGAGAGGGGCGGCAAAAACGCATGCAGCGATGGTGGTGGTGGTGGTGGTGGTGGTGAACGGTATTGACAGGCACAGCGTAACACGAGAGGTGTGCGCACACGTAGGCTCTGAGGTCAGGTAACAGCCGCAGACATCCACACATGGGCTCTGAGGTAGATAACAGCCGCAGACACATACAGACGTCGAGACACACACACACACACACATACACACACATACACACACACACACAAAATACATACACACACAGGTACACACACACACACAGATACACACACACATGTTCACGAGAACACTTTGTGTGTGTGCTTGATTACGTGCACTTGCGGTGGACAATCGAGGGGCCAGACTCGTCGTACTCGGCCTTGGAGATCCACAGGTCCTCAAAGGTGGAGAGTGAGGTGAGGATGGCACCTCCCTCCCACACGGCATACTTGCTGTCTGCAGGGGGCGCAATCTTGACACTCAGCGCAGCGGGCGCAAGTGCAGTCATCTCCTTCTGCATGCGCTTGGCAATGCCGGGGAACAGCGTGGTGCCGCCAGAGAGCACAATGTTGTTGAGCATCACCCTGTAGATGTCGAGGTCACACCTGAGTACTGAGGTGTTCAGTTGCTCGTGGATGCCCGTGGCCTCAATGTCCAGGAGGGACGGCTGGAAGAGCGCCTCAGGGCAGCGGAAGCGCTCGTTGCCGATAGTAATGCTCTGGCCATCGGGGAGGTCGTAGCTCTTCTCCAGGCTGGAGGAGGAAGCGGCGGTGGCCATCTCCTGCTCAAAGTCGAGGGCGACGTAGGAGAGCTTTTCCTTGATGTCGCGGGCAGTGTCACGCTCGGCGGTGGTGGTGAAGGAGTAACCGCGCTCGGTGAGGAGGTTCATCATGTAGTTGGTGAGATGGCGGCCGGCGAGGTCGAGGCGCAGGATGGCGTGAGGCAGGGCGTAACCCTCGGAGATGGGGACCGTGTGGGTGACGTCGTAACCAGAGTCGAGGACGATACCCGTGGTACGGCCGCAGGCGTACAGGGAGAGCACGGCTTGATTGGACAGGTAGGCTGCGGGCGTGTTGAACGTCTCAAACATGATCTGGGTCATCTTCTCACGGTTGGGCTTGGGGTTGAGCGGAGGCTCGGTCAGAAGCACCGGCTGCTTCTCAGGATCCACCTTGAGCTCGTTGTGGAAGGTGTGGTGCCAGATCTTCTCCATGTCGTCCCAGTTGGTCACAATGCGGTGCTCAACAGGGTACCTGAGCGTGAGAACATCGCTCTTCTCCAGGGCTTCCGCGCCAACGTACGCGTCCCTGTGCTTGTGGCCCGCGTCGGCCTGGCCGTGGTGGTGAGGGCGCCCCACCACGGCGGGAAAGACCGCACGCGGCTCATCCTCCCCCGCAAACCCGGCCTTGCACTCGAAGGAACCGTTGTCAAGAACAACAGCAGGTGCATCTGGGTCAATCTCCGCCATCGTATGTCGTGTCCGTTGGTGGGTTGGTTGGTTGGTTGTGAAGTTGGTTGTGAAATGCGAAATCTCACAAGCAAGAGTCCTTCCAGCAAACGCGTTGTTTGGCTGGGAGTGCTCGTCCGTTTCTGGCCACATGAATGCGCTTGTGAGGCTGTTGCCCTGAGGCCCTGGTTGCCTTCTCTGGCTTGCTGGCTTCATGTTGGCTTTCTTTTGCAGTGTACCCCAGAAGAGAAGAGGGAAGGGTGCGCAGTGGTGTGTCACAGTGGCACATGGTGGAAAGGGGGAACGAGCGAACAGCAATGGCGGGGGAAGATGTGACAGGAGGAGCATGTGCGAAGGAATGAAGAGGACGAAGAGAGTGATAGTGGTACAAGAATAGGTACAATGCAGGCAGGAACAACGCCAGTGCGAGGAAGCAGGGGAGCAAGGGAGTAGGGCAGTTAAGGGGGTAGAGGGGAGGGAAATACAGACAAGCAGGTACAGGCACGACCAGATGGTTGGACAGACATACAGACACGCAGACACACAGACAGACAGACAGACACACAGACACATACACACGGACAGACACACAGACAGACAGACAGACAGACACACACACACACACACACACACACACACACACACACACACACACACACACA